GAGAGAGAGAGAGAGTGCGTGTGAATACCTGCGTCTATGCGTCTCTCAGCAGCGTTCAGCAGCAGCGTCTACTAATAGCGAATCTTTAAGTTAAACTCCTTCATGAACCTCGCTACTGAGAAATGTCATGTAGCTTTTCAGCTGCGAAACTATTTTACTGATAAATTCGCGGTGCAGCGCTGACAAGAAGTTTCTGTTCGCGTCTCCGCGAGTGTGTGTGCGTCTGTGGGAGAGACTGGGAGAAAGAAAGCGTGATTTCCGTAGCCTACATAAAAAAGGTGGAAGACATGGAAATAGTTTGTCATTTGTTACCCTATTGTTTGTTATAGTTAAATATATATATTTATTTTATAATGTCGATTGCAAGTGACGTCGCAGGTATCGGAGAGTGCAAGTGGCGATTGCAAGTGACGTTGTAATTTAGTTTCTTTTTTCTTATCTTCACCACCTGGCTACTGTTGTAAAATGTTGAGCGATTCAAACAAAAAGTAATAAAAAATAGAACAAAATAAAAAATAAAGCCTGCAAGTGACGTTGCTAGCGGAAGCGCAAGTGTCTGAGAATGCAAGTCTGAGAATGCAAGTCTGAGAGTGCAAGTGCGAGGCTGCAGCCAGACCCTTCTCACTGACGCTGATGAGATTAACCCCTTAGGTATCGAAATTTGGTACCGAACGACGAGACGTTTTTCGATACTCGATGGTATCGAGGCAATTCGGTCGGTGCCTAAAAAGTATCGAACTCGATACCCAGCCCTACTTCTAAGGATGACATTATTCTTTAGAAAATGTATGAATTAAATGTTTAATTCCTTATAATCGCACACAAAATGGCTTGCACTTCAGATTGTTCATTGTAAAAACAATATGAAGTTAAATATTTTTATTTAGATAATACAGTTAACTCAATTTCTACCAGTAAGGATAAATAATATAAAAAGTAGTTTACATAATAATTATATACAATTTTATAAAACTGTTTAAATATTTTTGTTTATATATTATAAATATATATTTCAGTAAAATAGTTAACAAGCACAGTGAAACTTTTTTTTCAATGTACACCCTAAATGGACATGTTATTGTTATTAAATATTACTACAAAAAATTTAGATAAGTGTTATTTAAGTTTTATATAATTAACATTCTATAATGCATAACATTCAAATATGATTATATATGAAAATATATTCATCAAATTTTCATCTGCCATTGGTTGGTAAAACTGATAGTCCTGCCCCAAACAAATGCAATCTACAAATGGCTTACATATAGTTGACTCATCCTTTAAAGATCTTTTACATAATGTACAATGTTTATTATATTAATAAATGTTATTATAAAGTGTTACCATAAATACATGCAAACAATCACTTTATAACCACAAAAACAAAGAAAAAAGACTGAGAAATTATGTCAGTACCAGTGAGATGCACTCACACCTCCCACACACGCTCACGTCATCCAGCAGTCCCACCAACATCTCCTTGAGGGTCTGACGGAGAGATGACAGCGGGAAGAGCGCACAGAATTCCTCTTCATCTCCTCCAGCACTGTTCTGTCCCACCACCCGACACATGACCTCAGACCTCTCCTCTATACATGTACTACACTATAGACACCAAAACACTCTGTCTACTGCAGGTACATGCTAATCTCTCTCTCTCTCTCTCTTTCTCTCTCTCTCTCTCTCTCTCTCCAGTCTCTGTAAGCCTGGATTAAATCTAAATGACCACATGCTGATCTGTTACTGACCTCCCATAAAGCAGCAGAGAAAGTCAATCAGACATTTTGTTCACTGAGATGCCGTCCTACAGAAAACCTTTTTTTTTCATATAAAAAATAGCAAAGGTCAAACAGAGAAACCTCAATCAACATTTCACATCTTGAGACTTTATAACCTTTTAAAAATATTTGTACTTCTGTTTTTATGTATTTGCCCGAAATGGCAACTGTTTCAATCGGAGGAAATATAATTTTGACCAAACAACCAAAGTAGACTGAAAATGTTTAATGCAAGATATGTTTCCACAGTGTTTAAAAGATATTTGTAAATATGATGTTTAATCAAATTTTATTTGTATGCCTCAAAATAACTATGCATGGTCATAAACAGCTAAATACAGTGTCCTGTTTGACATTGTAAAACTGCTTTGACTCAACCAGTATTGTATAAAGCGTTATATAAATAAAGGTGACTTGACTACAGTTAAAAAGCTTAGGGTCAGTAAGATTTTTTAATGATTTTTTTTTAAGTCCCTTATGCTCACCAAAGCTGCATTTATTTGATCTGAAATACAGCAGTAACAGTAATATTGTTAAATATAAGTTATTCCTAAAGAAAACGCTGAATATTCAGCATCATTACTCCAGTCTTCAGTGTCACATGATCCTTCAGAAATGATTCTAATATGCTGATTTAGTGACATTAGAAAAATGTATTCTTATTATCAATGTTGAAAACATAATTTTTTGTTTTTTATATTTTTTGTGGAAATCGTGATACACTTTTTTCAGGATTCTTTGATGAATATAAAGTTCAAAATGTATTTGAAATAGAATTTTGTAACCCTGTACTGTCACTTTTGATCAATTTAATACATCCTTGGTAATTAAAAGTATTTAAAAAAAACGTACCGACCCCAAACAAAAATGTGTGTAAACTTGAATACTGAAAAATGACTGCCAAGCCCTACAATGCCATGCAAAAACATTTTACATTTTAAACCTTTCAAAGCAATGAAAGTCAAATATTATTGTTTGCAGCTGCCAAGTGTGCAGTAAGACTGTGGAATTCTGTTGAGCACGTCTCTCTCTCCATCTGACCCCATAACACCCACCGTAATCCTGATCACACCAGCCAGTCTCTCAACACAAGCTGCTCACACCTCCTAAATCTCTGACAGCACCACAGCTCATTCCCGCGGCTTACCTTTCCGCCCCGTTCGGCCTTATCGTTCAGCTCCTCCAAAGCAGGCGTCGCGGAGCCCTCGGGAAATTCCTGCTCTTGAGCTGGATCTGATGGAGAAAAAGAGGTGGAAAAGATGTTAATGAAAGAGTGGTCTGAAGAGTTAAGTCACGGTGATAGAGAGTGAAATAAACACACTCAAGGCTGATTAACTCAGTGCTCTCTCTCGGGATATGGCTCACCATAGTCCGACCAGTGCAAGCATTTGACCTTTATTAACCGCCATTGAACTGATCTCACTAACTGATGCAGGTCCACTCCAGCAGGCCTCTTGTCTCTGATTCTACAAAGCTTGGCATTGCATCAAATGGGAAAACCTAATATGCACTAGGTTTACTGTTAGAATAATGTTACAAGCCCCTCTACAGGAAACACCATCCTGTAGAGAATAACAGTCTTGTTGTCTGCGGAGAGCCCTGTGGTGTAATAGTTTATGTCTGGGCATTTTGACAGCGTCATGCTGTGAAACAAGCTGTCCATCGTTAGGTTCTCATCATAAAAACAGCAGGAGTTGTTTCATTGTTTGCAGTACGTCTAAAGAGCCAGAGGCCGCCAGCAGTCACAGCCCTCCGCAAGCCCTGCAGGCAGTTTCTTCACTAATACCTGTTCAGTTGATGGGTAACCAAATACATTTAAATTATACTTACAAAATAAAATAAAGTTGAAGTCGGTTAATATTTACTGATGACTACTGTAGCAGTTTACCATGATTACTGTAGGTAAAAATGTGCTTATCTAAAACATTATTTAAAAAAAAAATGTAAACTGAGATTTGATGGGTTTCATTTCTTTCATTTAATGGGTCTTTTTTGTTTGTTTGTTTTTCTCATAAAAAGGGCACCGCATGAGCCAGGACCACTGCTGCCCGCTCAAAAAACTAGCCACATGACATCCCTGGAAATAGTATGCAGAAATAAATACCCAGACCACCAATAAGTGTCAAATGCAAAGTTTGTTGCCCTCTGCAGTTCATGTAGGGTTAATGCAGAAAAAGCAGGGCACATCCAATATTATTTGAAAAGATATAATGGCAAAATACTATTCAAAAGTTTGGGGTCAGTAAGATTTATTTATTTGTTTGTTTTTAAAGTAATTAATACTTTTACATTGTTGCAAACATTTCCATTTCAAATAAATGCTTAAAGTTTCAATTGGTCAAAGAATCCCGAAAAAAAAATGTATCAAGGTGTCCACAAAAATATTAAGCATCTCAACTGTTTTCAACATTGTTGATAATAAGACATTTTTCTTCCAGATTGGCTTATTAGAATGATTTCTGAAGGATTGTGTGACACTGAAGACTGGAATAATGGCTGCTGAAAATTCAGCTTTGCCATCACTGAAATAAATTACAATTTAAAATATATAAAAATAGTAGGGATGCACCGATACCGATACTGGTATCGGGCCCGATACTGGTCTCCTGTACTCGTACTCGTACTCGTTAAAATGCCCCGATACCAAACGCCGATACCACACAGCATGTGATAAGTGCCATATTCAGACAAAGAAACACCGACAACAGAACAACAGACAGCAGAATGGAGTTAAGGATGTCTACTACGAAGTACAAATCATACCCAAAAATTCTTCATACAGTGGACTACCAATGAAACTGATACAAATTTGGGACCAAACATTATTAAGACCGAGTCTGGATTTGAAGTTCAGGTTTGCATGAAGCTGGGTGACAGCATGCCCAGGAGACTATATGCTGTCATTAAGGCTAAGGTTTGCCCGACTAAGTATTGATAGTTGTGTAAATACTGTCATACTAACAGCTGTCTGAATTATTTTTGGTTGATTGTAATCCATTACATGCCTTTCTATCAAAGTTATCTAACATTATCAAGATGAATTTGTTCTGACAGTTCTTGTCATATTTTATTACCATTTTCTAAACTATAGCAAATAAACTGTGATAATGTGAGAAATGTTGAAGGTATCTGAATAAATTTTGGTTTGACTGTATCTATTTGATAAATAAAGTTAACCAACTAACATTGCAATTCTGTTGTGTGATCTTTGATGTTCACTCACTTAGCACACGCATCATTTGGATTAAAACTAAATCGTAAAAATAAGACCATTTATATGGGCATTCACTATAAACATAATTTATTTTCAACGTTAGGCATACACGACTTTCTGGCGGAAGTGAATCTATTCTGCATCAGTACAAATACGTGCACGCGTTGTTCGTTTTGTTTGCTTGAGTGTTTCTGCATTATATGAGTGGCTTTGGAATATAAATCGCAGCACGTTTCAGATGAAAAAACGCGACTTCTATTTCTGAAAATATCACAGTTAGGAGATTTATAACGAGTGGTTCCCTCTAATGGTATTAAATTACAGATGATGTGCCATAGAGCAAAAAATGAACAGTGAAAGTAACAAAAACTTGTAAAATACATTTTAATGGGCATAATTAAGTGTGAAAATAACCGAAGGATATACAGTGAAACCAAAAATGATTCAGAGACCAGATATAATTTTTGATATTTTTTTACTAGTGGGTGCAGGACACTATAGTTCATTTATGTAAGTGAGGATAGCAAAATAAAGTAAACTGTGACAAATCATACCCAAAAATTCTTCATACAGTGGACTACCAGTAAAATTGATACAAATTTGGGTCCAAAAATTATTCAGACCGAGTCTGGGAAAAAAGTTCAGGTTTGCATGAAGCTGGGTGACAGTATGCCCAGGAGACTACAGGCTGTCATTGAGGCTAAGGGTTGCCCGACTAAGTATTCATAGTTGTGTAAATACTGTCATACTAACAGCTGTCTGAATATTTTTTGGTTGATTGTAATCTATTACATACCTTTCTATCAAAGTTATGTGACATTATCAAGCTGAATTTGTTCTGACACAGTTTAACTCTGAGTTCTTGTCATATTTTATTACCATTTTCTAAACTATAGCGAATAAACTGTGATAATGTGAGAAATGTTGAAGGTGTCTGAATAAATTTTGGTTTGACTGTATCTATTTGATAAATGAAGTTAACCAACTAACATTATACATACTCTTTTGGTTTCTGTACCCAATATTTAAAAAATGTACAAATGCAATAAAAATATTGGTATCGGCAAGTACCAAAAATAAAAGTATCGGTATCGGGCGAGTACTGGAAAAAGTGGTATCGGTGCATCCCTAAAAAATAGAAAAGCTATGACACTCTTTCAAAAACATAAAAAATAAATAAATAAGTAATTCTAATTTTTAACATTAATCTTTCATTTTAACATAATCTTTAATTAATTTTAAATTTAGAAAAAAAAAAGTTAAAAACTCTTTTCGGACCCCAAACTTTTGAACGGTAGCGTTTATAGATGAGCAGTGCATTATAAAGTGCATTGTGCTTTTCTACCTGTGGTCCACTGCTCCAGGTGAATGATGTCGCCCTGAGGAGGTTGGGGATGATCAGGTTCACTGGGGTCACAGTCTGGCCAGACGGAGCTTTGGTCGTCTGCGCTGTTATCCTCGCGTCTGAGGATGAGACGGAGCTCTTGTTGGCTGAAGAAGTTCTGCATGAGGCCGAGGTCAAGAGAGGCCACACTCACACCATTAAGAGTCAAGATCTCATCTCCAGCTTTCAGACCTACAAAGACAATACACATCATACAAATCAATCACAATACGTTCCATCAATCATAACATTTAAAATCGTATCGAGGCATAAGATATATTGAAATGTTACCTCTAATAAACGCCAGGCCTTCAGGATTCACCTCGCTCACATACACATGACTTCTCCTGGCACCATCCACATGACCTGTGACTGCAAAACCTGCAGAGAGCCGTAAGATTAAATTAATCACTGCCAGAATTGTTTCAACACATTTAAAGGAATGTTCTGAAAAATTCTGTCAAGATTTATTCATTTACATTTTGCTTTGAACCTGTGTGACTTTCTTTTTTCTGTGGAACACAAAAGAAGATGTTCAAGGGGATGCCCAAGCTGCACTTTTCCATACAATGAAATTGAATGTGTGGTTTTAGCACTTACAACTCATTTGTTCTCTAAGTACACTTAAATGGCCTTTTTTCATTCATATTATATGAAAGTACAGTTTTAAAAAATATATACATATATATTAGAGCTCGACCGATATGGGTTTTTTGGGGGCCGATGCCGATACTGATATTAGGGAGTAAAAAAAGACAGATACCGATATATCGGCAGATATTCTTTATGTGTAGGCTATATTATAGTAGAGTATAGTCAAAAGTTTGGACACACTTCCCATTCGTGTGTCCAAACTTTTGACTGGTACTGTTAACGTCAGAGCTTATCGATACTCCGGTCTTTCATAATTTAGCCCCGGGACCGATTAAATACCGGGTTTCGGTACCCATCCCTAGATATATCGGCGAATAATATCGGCTAAACGATATATCGGTCGATCTCTAATGTATATACAGTGGGTACGGAAAGTATTCAGACCCCCTTAAATTTTTCACTCTTTGTTATATTGCAGCCATTTGCTAAAATCATTTAAGTTAATTTTTTTTCCTCATTAATGTACACACAGCACCCCATATTCCGTCTATTGGACTGCAGAAAGATACTAACTTTTCAACTGCTACGTTACTTACTGTACTGACAAACTATGCTGACACCGTGTCCGCGCCGCAGCAGACCGTTGAAAATAATTTGAACTTTGTGTCAGCACGCCATAAATAGAACGAGGCATCAGTTTACTGCATCCAGTGTAGACAACATCACTGATTATCTGAATCTGATGTTAAAAATGAACCATCCATTCATCATATCATCATGCAAAACGAAGAATTAGATTCATTGTAATGTGACGATCAAATATAGGTGCAGGTGGGTGGCGGGTGGATAATTTGAAGCAGCGGACTCGGATGAAGTTTGAGCTCATCCGCGCATCTCTACACTACACTGACCTGGGTCGCCAGTAGCAAACAATGGAGCACACTCTTCTGGACACAATAAAAAAGAGGAATGGCAGAGGATCCCCAACTCCAGGTGTGAAAAACTTGTTGCATCAAAAAGACTCATGGCTGTATTAGATCAAAAGGGTGCTTCTACTAAGTACTGAGCAAAGGGTCTGAATACTTAGGACCATGTGATGTTTCAGTTTTTCTTTTTTAATAAATCTGCAAAAATGTCAACAATTCTGTGTTTTTCTGTCAATATGGGGTGCTGTGTGTACATTAATGAGGAAAAAAAATTAACTTAAATGATTTTAGCAAATGGCTGCAATATAACAAAGAGTGAAAAATTTAAGGGGGTCTGAATACTTTCCGTACCCACTGTACATTGTATGGAACAGAGCAGCTTGGATATTCTGCTAAACTTTGTTGTTCATCTGAAAAACATCATACAGTTTCTGAACAATGCAAGAGTGAGGAAATTATGTAAATGACGAGAGTGAATAAATATTCACTTATGGGTGAACTATTTCTTTTCTTGCTGATCCTGCTGTACAGTAACTCACCAAAGTCTACGGTTGTGTCCGGCCGGGACATGTTTATGGTCAACACATTGAGAGGCCAAACTTCCAGTTCATCATAGACCTGTTAAACAAGAGCAGAGCATAATTGTTGCTGTGTGATAAAGCAAGGTTTCGTGAAATAAGTGTGTATAACAATAAAAAAACAGCTTAGACTAGTTTGGACTTGCTTAAATTCCAATCCAACTAGTTTTAGATGGGCAACGTTAGGTTAACAGAACAAACTGGTTAAGATGGTTATTGTTGCAGGCAATACTAATCCAAATAGAGTTTAGCTTGAACAATCTGCTTTATAAAGTGTGTTTTCGTCTCACCAGGGTCCTCAGCTGGTCTGTGGGCACTGAAGTACTTCTCTCCACATCTTGTCCCAAATGTCTCCTCGTGTGCAGGCAGTGCAGAGCTGGGTCAAGCTGCTTTGCCTACAAAAGACAATGTTATCCACTATTACATTCATACAGAGATCAATATGGAGCTCAGAATGTGTAATGATTTATTAAATCATCTCAAAGCGAATGCATCCTGTGAGAACCTCAAAAAATTGTGCAAGCTTTCTGTCATTTCATGAGGTCTGAACCAGACACAAGAGACCACAAAAGACAGAAAATGCAAACGCATGAACTTTAGTTGTTCGTGTTTTTCTGGTTATGGCAATTTCAGGTCACTGGGTCTGTGAGAGGTGATTGCTGAATTACCTTGCAGGCCAATGAGAGAACATCAGCAACCAGAGAGTCCTGTTTGACTGGTACACTGACGACCTGACTGTCGGGCATGAGCACGTACACCCGGCTTTCCAGACTGCAGTCCCACGGGTTACCTTCAGGAGGCGCTGTTACATGCATTTTGGTAAAGGCATCCAACTTCTGCTGACAACAGGCAAGAGGATAAAAAAGACCAAAAGTGAAAAAAGTTCAAGTATAGATCAATGTCTCAGTTTGAAATAATTCAATAGCTTAGTATTAAAAATATGACATTGATAATTGAGATAATATTAGTTGCTTTATATAACTTTGCATTATTATTTAATACTGCAAATAGTAAAATAAAGTCCCTGTGCATTCAGTGTGGACATCAGAACCATGTTTCGTCTGCTACACCTACATAAATTATGTTAACTTTCACACTTTTTATGATTTTATGATTTTTATTTTTTATGATTTTAAGCTGTTTTATGCTACTAGTCTTGATATATAACCATCAACTATATGAAATGCTAAATGTTTAAACTGAAATGTGCTGCAAAATAATGTGTAATTATTGATTAATAAAATAAATAAATAAATAAATAAAAAAGTAATATATAGTTTTAGAAAATACCAAATAATAGCAATGCTACCAATTTGACAGTAGCTATTATCAAAATAGCTTTTTCCAATAATAGTATGATATCACTACAGTATATCGTCTTTTAATTTCCCTTGTGAAAAAGAAGTGTGATTAATTGTTCTGAATGTGCGCTTGCAAATAATATAACGTTCATGAATTAAGTGTACTTAAAGAGATTACTTTTATGACTGTTTCTTAACACACTTAAGTACTTTTAAAAAGTACACTATGTAAAAGTGAAAGTTTTACATTACATGTTGAATAATATTGTACTGATCTTTTGTCACATTTTAAAGTACAATTATTCTGATGTGCTGACTAACATACTAAAGCACATTTAAAGTACTTGATTATAATTAAATGATTGATTATTATTTTTCAATTATTGATACATAAAAATAGCTTGATGCTGGAACATAGCATTACGTTTACAGCTGCCTTTCTAGCAAACAAAACGTGAGAAAAAAATCCACTCCTCAAGCTTTCCTCTGCTCTTGTTCTGAGCCAGCCTGCTGGGTCAAAGCCAGGTGCCAACAACACTAATATGGATCTTTAGCGCACTCTTTATTCTGTGAGAGGGAGAAAGGGGGGTCACGTCCCTTTTCACTGACTCAACTCACACAGCTGTCACAACAACCTGCTGATCTGTGGACATTATGCAGTGCAAACAGATCACGGGGTGGAGAAATGGCCAGAATGGGGGAGGTTCGTTCAATGTAATTCTATTGTCCTTCAGCTGCATCCTCAATATGGGGACTTGACAATGCAAGCGCTATTGAACAATATAAGATGTCTTAACAGATTTTGGGAAGCTATTTTTAAACTGTAACTTACTAAGGACAATCTACTAACAACAACAGTCAAGATACTTTTTTGAAAAAGCATTTATTTCTGCTAAAAGCAGCTAATTTAAGGGCACAATATAAGTATGCGACGATACAATTAATTAGAGCCGTTTGTTTCTGGTACAAAAAAACAGTGGTTTTTAAATAGACGAAAAAAATTAAGAACAATTAATTAATGCTGAAAGCATGTATTATAAACTAAAATACTATGAAATACTAAACTAAAATACTAATATACTATAAACTAAAAAATAAAATATATTTCTGTCATGACAACTCTTGGAGGGATTGGCATGGTAATGTACATGACAATGTTTTGGTCTTGGCGGAATAGATCTGCTACGCTGCTGCTGCTGCAGCAGAGCAAATACCGAGACTTGCTACTGCCAATACATTCACAACATGCTGCTGTGAGCATGTAAGAAATATTGCTGCTGCAAATATAACATACATAAAATAACCCCCATATAGCATACATGAATCACCTCGTAGCAGATCTATACAGGTGGAGCTGGGGAAGGTGGAGGGTTTCTGAAGCAAGCTGCAACTGCTACAGCGAACACTAGTCATATATTTGAATGTTGGGCAGCGAGCTCATTGGCTACTGATACAGGAGAGAACCAATCAGCTGTGTCATGTCATAATTATGTCATTAGGTCAGATTGAGTTAGACCTATCGGACTGCACCATCTAGAGTTTCATGCCAGAACTCTGTATTTAATGTCATTTTTATTGAAGCGTGTAGGTTGTCTATTTAAATATTTTTAATTACATGTTTGTAATGATTGAGTTGCAATTTAGTATTTGTAAAATATATTAACTATGAATGTAATATCGAATAACATAATTAAAATTATAATCACGTGCTTTATTATGTTAATTAACACATCAAAATAAGTGTACTTCCTTAAAGCACAACAAAATATTATTAAAACATGATTTAAAATGTACTTTTTATGATGGATGGACGCACTTTTTTGGCCTTCAAAATCTCAACCCCCATTCATATTATAAAGCTTGGAAAAGCCAGGACATTTTTTTATATCACTCAGATTGTATTCGTCTGAAAGAAGAAAGTCATATACACCTAGGATAGCTTGAGGGTGAGTGAATCATGGGGTAATTTTCATTTTTTGGGTGAACTATCCCTTTAATGCGATTCAACACACCTTTTTCTCCCACAGTGGCTCACAGAAGATGTGATTTTCACTTGTTGCATTATGGTCTGAGCTGCTTTGTGTGGATGGATGACCAAACGATCCAGAGGAATATCCTTCAAAAATCTGCATCACGAACACACATACACAAACATTAAACACACTTCGTAAGAAATGCAGAGCAGCATCCAGGCTCAAAAAAGCAGCATGCTTTTATCTCCATGCTTTAATTAGAAACCATCGATCTGAGGCGCCAGCTTTGATACTATTCTGATTGTAGATCACAGCAGAAATAACCCTGAGGTTTGCTGGGAAATAATGAGAGGTCTGGAAGATGCTAAAATTATAGGTCTATAAAAGCTGACAGATGGATCAGCCGTAATCATGAAGGCAGAGTGGGAGACACGGCCTCCCCTCACCCAAGACACCCATGTGCCATACATAATTATTATATGGATGTAGTCTATACAAACAGACAAGGGTATGGCTTGTCCTCTACAAATAATTGAAAAGGCAAAACCCAAAATACCAAAAACTGACATAAGCTTTGTTCCTGCAGTGAGGTGGACTCCTCACGGTACATAGACAGCTAGCTACATACTAAAACAGCATCCTGTCTTAAATAAAACCTCACAACTGACTGAACTGAAACACTATTTATGAGCAACAAGGCAGTTAACGTCACTAATAGTGCTACACATGTGAAGCGCACAAGAAACTCGACTTATACTCATGGTTAAAACAGAATATTATGTTAGCATGTTGCTAAGCTAGCAACACAATGCTTTAAAAAAAAAACACAAAATCCTGCTGAAAAAACAGCTGAAAACAGCCTAAGCTGGGTGGTTGGTTTTAGTTGTTCTTCCAGCCTGGTCATAGCTTGTCTGCAGGCTGGTTTTAGTGGGGTTTTAACCACTTCTTTAGCTGGTCAAGCTGGTCTTAGCTGGTCAGGCTGGGAGACCAGCTTACCAACCAGCTAAAAACCAGCTTGGCCAGGCTGGGGCACCAGCTAAAACCAGCTACTTCCAGCTTAAACCAGCCAAGCCCAGCCAGCCAGCTTAGGCTGTTCATTTTAATTAGGTATTAATTAGGTTAATTTTAATTTTAATTAGGTACTATTATTTTAGCAATACCTTTCAATAATGAATGCAATAAAATTATATTTGAAACACACTTCCATCTTAAATACTTTTGTTTTTTTTCACAGAGCTTGTCGCAAAACTGGTGTTTTCAGCAACAAGCTATTTGTCTGTCCACACTGAAACTGTAACATGATGTAATGCAATCAAAAACAATCAGAAGATATTTAACATCTCATGATATAAATTATGAGGAATGGGATTTAGGACTGGGATTTCACTACTGGTGGGTTGACTCAGCACTACACAACCGAAACCAAACATCAAATATGTCCTGTCAATTGTTATGGTCAAACAAAAACTCAAATTTACATGAAAAAAGAAATAGCTTTTTTCATCACACATCTGGTTAAAATTTTTCAAGTTACTTGAAAATCAAGCAGTTTTGGTCGTTGCAGCGAATTTGCGTGACAAACTTGAACATGAGCAAAATCTATGTTGAAACTTTTTGGCCTTCACACAAAACTCCCGATCATGCGGATTTATATTGAAATGACTGGAATTGGCTTGAGAAATTTTGCTGATCAATGGTAAATGTGGCTGTACTTTGAAAATTATTTGTTGTTTTATGCCGACGCAGATAGCAGAGAATATACTGGGCACACAATTGTTATATGGGGTGTGTTTGTGTGTGTTTGTGTGTGTGTGTGTGTGTGTGTGTGTGTGTGTGTGTGTGTGCGAGTGCATGTGCTTCAATGACATATGCAAGACATATCAACAAGCCGTTGTGATGCTCTCTAAGCAAACTAGTCTAAAAAGACGAGTCAGCCCAAAGCACCTGCAACATTTTTGTTGGTTATATAATTTTCAGTTTTGTATATATTTAAATATAATTCACATTTATTTAACACACAGCATTATCATATTGCGTTATTTAACCAGATATCGCATATCAAATGCATACATATTTTCATCAGTATCATGCAGCGCTAGTTGGTGAGTAGCTATACTTTATTTCAATAGTCCACTTTAGACATTCTATATAAGTAACTTTTTAAATGTCAACTAATACACACACACACTGTCACTTTAATCAGTCTGAATAAGCTCTTTTGCACTACAAATAATAAAGCAGACTTGACATGACTTGACTTGAACTCTCATATTAATACTCTCAGTATTAGTAGTCTGTTAGGTAAGGTTTAGGGTAAGTACACTAAGTTGACATGAACTTGCAAAGTTACATAGTCAGAACGTCTGCTGTGGGAACATCAAAATAAAGTGTTAGCAGATATTAAGCAGACAGTCTACTAATACTCTAATGACTGGTAGTCATGTAGTTGTAAAGTTACTTACTGCAGGATGTCTAAAGTGGACTATTAGAGAGTGAAATAGAGTGTTACCGGCAAGTCTTTAAGAAAAGAGCTGAGTTTGTAAAAAAGCACAGAGGAAGACATCCAGACAACAGTAGCAATACTACAACTGAGCAGTTTATCTGGGGACGGCAACTCTGACTTGACTCTGACTAAAGCATCTAAGCCCTCTGGAAACAATCACACTGCCCCGTAACCCTTTTGAATCAAACAGCATCAGACGCTACATCTGTGCAGTAAAGCTGTCTCTCCTCTCAGACTGTTTCCAGCTTGCAGCAATTAACCGCATGCAGCTCATGGTAATCCCCATCTTTGGAATCATGCACTATTAGGGGCTGTTTTGACCAGATTTGGTCCACTTAAGGATGGATGATTATGAGGCTGGAACCGCTGAGTGATTGGCTCCAAACTCACATGAGGCCGTCTACCTAATCATACATGTGGATTTAGAGCTCATGCTCTGTGTTAACACAAAAGCCCTTCAGAGAAGGAATGCTGAGCTGGGCTTAATTACAAGAACTGATTGAGAAACAGTATTTCCAAAACAGCCCCAGAACAGTTTGACAGGAGAAAGGAACAGGACTGCTGTGTGTTTTCCTGCCATTTGACCTCCAGAGAAAGCTTTGATGTGTGAGTCAGTGGCTGTTTGTTTTGTCCGAGTGTGACAGTGTTTCCCACCCTGACACCTGTGGACAGCATTAACACACTACTGTGAGACTAAATGAGTAAAACAGGCCTGTGTCTTAAAGGGGTCATATGATGCGATTTCAAGTTTTCCTTTCTCTTTGGAGTGTTACAAGCTCTTGTCAGTACTGCAGTCGTAAACACAGGCCAGTGAACCTCAGAGTAAGACTCCTAACCTGAAATCACAGCTATGTATGTACTGATTCACGTCAATTAGGATTAACACTAATTAAAGGAAAACTGCTCCTTTTATTTTTATTTTCCCTAAGTGTATTCTTTATTGTTAGGTTTTGGCAGGTCTCAAAATACATAACTGTCTGGCAAAAGAATTTCCATGATATTTTCAGTTCTAGCCAGATTATTTTTTTAAATAATTTCATTGCGGTTGCCCCTACCAAAGAGTATTTCTTACCTGGGACAGGGACTGTCTCTTTTCATGGTTACGTTTGGTCAGACTGTCTAATCCCTTCTGTGAAGAAAAGAGCAGTCCTCGTTTGTTCCGCATACCTCGAGGATGAGAGCGAGATCGTCTCTTCAGGGTGGCTTCATCACGAGTGCATATCTGCACAAACACAAGCTCATTTAAAAAAAATCTCAGTGCTCCATCATCTTAATTTAATTTTTGTGGCGCATCTCAAAGGTAGACTGTTTTAATTAGGTCTTTTTTTGGTATCTTACACAATTCCCTCAAAGCATGTGACAGATCCTCACCAGTGCATGAAAGGACGAGACAGAGAAAATTCCCAGACGACCTAGCACCATTTTAGACGGGCGTCCAGCAGTGGCTAGCAGGCTTTTTGGATTGGGCAGCTCTGTGCCCTGCAGGCTAGCCAGGTAACAGCGCATGCGGAAGAGCTCTATGTTAAACTTCTCCAGGTTCTGTTCCCATTGCAGGATCTGTGGGTCAGAGATGAAGGAGAGAGAGCAACGCATTGAAATACATTTGAGAAAGCTATAGACATTATAAATATTATAGAGTTACAACAACCCACAACACTGGCGGTGACTTATGTATGGGAAAGTAACCCTCAAATTTTCTTTAGAAAACCTAAAAACCTAGAAATGTAGATAATGCGGATCAGCAGGACATGGGGATGACAAGTCTGAATGCTTGTATTATATATTCTTGGATGCTCTGAAGGCACTGTGGTGTGGTTGCTGTTCAAACAGCAACATCAATGACTTAATTGCCCAATTTAGCAAACCACTCATCTGAACAACTTGGATTTGGCCTTCAAACTTTTGAAACAAACCACACACATATGCATAAACATCCACACACACACACACACACATCCGTTTTGTTCCTCACCTGGCTCTCAATAGCCTTCCTGTTCTTCTGGTCGCTGATGACGGACAGCTGCAGCTCTGCCATCTTCTTCATTTTGCCATCCATGTCGATCTTCTGCAGAAGAGCTCTGCTCTGGCTCTTCAGCAAACGCAGAGTGTCCTCCTTCCCCTGACGCTTAGCTAAATGTGATGCACTGGCAGAATGGATGGCCGTCACCCAGTTCTCCAGGTCTGTTTGATTAGCAGCCTGCAAGTAACAGGTGAGAGATAAGAGACAACTTATAGCCAAAAGTCCACATTGTGGAAATAGTGTACTGTGTACTATATTATATGATAAAGGCCACATGCCTGAAAGAGATAGACATCTCCATAGGCATTGCTGAGGCAGAAGACATGCTCTTTCTTGGGATGCTCAGGAACTGCCTGCACAATACTGTCCTCGGCAAGCACTGCGTAATGTGGTGTGCATTCCTGCTCAGGGGAGGTCTTTCCATTGGATTCACCCAACAAAAGTGTACTGCCTACAGGAGACAGGGAAACAGAGATAGAGCTCCTAATAATGACGAGCAAACATTATCCATTACAGCTACATTTTGAAGTCTTAGAACTGAAAAATTGAATTGGCTGTGCATGTTTTACTTGATGAAAATTCAGCATTAGTGTTAATCTGCATTTATTGTCCGCTTGTTCTCAAGACTACCATCTTACCTTTGAGCGTGACCCAATACTGCCTCCACTTGCGTCTTGCTACCAGCTCCAGTTTGCGGTCCTTGTGGAGGGTAATGAGGGTCTTAAAAGCCAACCAACCAGCCCTCCGCACAACACCTTGCTCCTTCTGAAACAGGAAGTCCATTTGCTCCAAAGAGCCCATTGAGCCACTGCTGCTTTCTCCTTCACCATCCCAGACCTGGAGTCCAGCAGCAGTTCCACTGCTGCTGCCAGTCTCTAGGCCCTGCATAAAGTTATCATAGATGTTCTGCCTCAAGGCCACACCCTGGTTCTGCAGCCCAAATGGGCCCGTTGAGGAACCAGAGCAGTCCAGCTGTGTCTGGGAGGACATGGGATTCCAAAATGGTCTGGATTCCTCTAGTGTGCCCCCAGCTCCACAGCTGATGACCTCTGTAAAGTCCAGAGTACTTGGTTCCTGAGGTTGGGTAGATATGAAGTGAGAAGAGGATGGCAAATGTTAACATGTAACTGTTTTACAAGGTTGCCACAATGTTGTGAAGTTTTTCACACCCTTTACAACTCTTACAAATCATGGCCAGTTCAACAAGCATACCATTTCAAAACATAAGTAATTTGTTGTTTCAGAGAGGAATGTCATCTAAGAATGCTTTACAGCATTGAAGAATGTCAACTTCAACTAAAACATCATTTTACACCCAGAACACTGAACAGGAAATGGAATTGTAATATGATAACATCTGCATGATAATTCTGGAGTCAAACAGGAAGGTCTGCTATGCTGACAGATTTACACTAACGCCCAATACACCAAAAAAATCATTTTCTCACCTGCAGCCTTCGCTTCTTCCTTCTTAGACTTCCTGTCCAATCGCTGAGGCGGCGGATGCGACTCTTGAGCGAGTCCTTCCTTGCATTCCCATCAGGAACTGCTTTTCTGCATGGCAGGGATTGTGAGGTGTAATTCTGGGTTTTCTGACTCTCATCCTGGGAGTTCACATCCAGAGAAGCAGTCGGTGAGGTTTGGAGGTGAGGAGTGTCCTCAAGCTGATCCACTGCTAGGATGCCCACGGTAGGGAATGGCACAGTCATGTTGGGGTTTGTGTAAAGGTCGGATAATCCATTATGTTCCAAATGAAGGAACACAGAGTCTCCAATACCACTGTCTTCCTCAGCTCGGTTAGCATTGTACCCATTACTATTGCAATCACTGCTTGCATACTGACTGCCATGAACTGTGGCTTGGCAGGTGAGGTTACCCATATGGTTCTCAGATTGTTCTGTATTGTAACCATTAAAACATCCAAAATCTACAGTACGTGTGGATGAGAGTGTGGTATATCCACTACTGTTGTCCGAAGGTTGGCCGGTGGTGAAGACGTTATCACACAGATCTTCTGTCCCATTCCCCCAGGGTGAGTCATACCATGAACCCTCAGAGCTAAGAGAGCTCCCATTACTGGCCCTTTGGGTAGCATCAACAGGTACACTGGGACAGCTGCCCAAAGACAGCGCAACATCCGGCTCCCTCCGTGCATTGGTAAACTCTACCCTCAGACTTCCATCCTCACGAAAAATAACTTTGGGACTGCTCTTACTGTCTTTAATCTCAGAACTGGTGCTCTTCATAGGGGCCTGGAGGCCTCCAGTCTGTTGTCTGTAGCCTACAAAGAATCCATTTCCCTGGAATAAAAGGTTGTCATTGTCTCTGTGTCTCTCTGAATGTACTTTGTCACTAGATCCCCCTTTAATGCAGTCATAATGGCGGGAGATGTAAGGTTGGCTGTTCTTGTGTGGTGAAAATCCATTTTTGGCCTTGTATCCAGAGGTGCTTTCAGTGCTCCTCCACCAAGAATGTGGGGAAAGTGCCTCCTCTTTTGAGGTGTGCAGCTTCGAGGAGCTAGATTTTCCCTTACCAGGGATGATGAAATTGCTATACTGACTATCTGTATTTCCCATTCTGATCTGTGAGGAAAATGGTAAAGAAACATCAAGGTCAAAGTTAAGCATTCCATGCATTCATCTTTCTACCTAACCATCCATATAACTATGCATCTATCTGTCTAACTTTCTATCTGTCCAGTTAACTGTTCACTTATCCACCCATCCATGCACCTACACACAAAAACACACACTTTTAAAACAACAGTATTACATAGTAAAAGAGTTTCTTTTTACCTGTAATAAAGTCAGTTGTCAGAGCATACAAAGATATTCCTTCATATTTCTTTTAGACATATTCCTTTACACTGGCCATCCTCTTTTTCCAACGTTGTCTACGGCTAACTTCTGTCTGCTCCTGCCTGGTGCAGCATCTGACTCTCACTGAGATCCTCCTCCCTTCACTGTCTCTCTACCACAGCTGTTCCTCTCTCTCTCTCTCTCCATCGCTCATCTGTGGAGAAACAGAAGAAGGGAGGGGCATGTGTCAGTAACACACAGTCAGCTCTTGTGTGTGCAGTCTGCAGTGGGAAGCCCCACTCCAACCCCCAACCCCAAATCTAAATAGACCTCACGCTTCTGTCCTGCTGCCACATTCCATGACGTAGTGCCGCAAGCATTAACAAGGGCAGACTTCATACAACCTCCCTGTCTATTTTTTTAGGCTAGGAAATTCTTCACAATTTTCTTAATTTTTTTGTCTGAACCGTAATGGTTCAGTAACTCAATCCCTCAAAGCAATGTGTTTAGACTGTACACAAAATCGTTTGACTATGTTTGGGGTAGCATTGTTTTGTCTCAAAGCCAGAAGAGGATTTGGAAAATATCCGTAATGAGAATTGTATTAGTGGCAGGATGAAGTGCTCCTGGCTGCTTGGGAATATTTCATATCCTGTGAACTTTACGGAGTGAGATTTAGGGGTGATAAGGGACTTCGGGGTTCAGAGGTAGCAAAACCATCCTGCCCTAACAGCTCAAGAGGATATGGAAAAAACACACCACCCTAACCATGACCTCTAACACAGAAGTGAGCACTGAATGCCGCCAACACCATCTTCTTTCACACAACCAAGCTTCAATGAAGCAAGGAACAGTGCTCTTGAGATGCAGCAGGGAGGCGGATGGCTGCTTAATTATGAAAAGTACCAGCAGGCGGTATGATGTTATGCTTCCAACACTGTGGCTTTGTAAGAGACTGAACACAGAAGCAGCCAATGAGTTTTGTCGGTTCCAGACGCCGAGCTGCAGAGGGCTGAACCAGGGCATTGTGGGATGTGTGTCCTGTCCCATTCAGAAAAGATGATCTGAATGGCAGTCGCTCACATTGTGAGCTTCTTTGTGTGTCTCACTGGCCATCTGCTGCCCCAAGGAGTGAGATCAGTCACCCTCGACCCGCGCAATTCACTCATCCGAAAAGAAGCGCAAGACTGCAGTGCCAAACTTTACCAGAATTCAACAGACTAAGCCAAGAGCTGCTGTGTGATAAGTCAAAGACACTTGTTGAAAGATGCATGTGTGTGTTTTGTTATGTATAGGTATTTTCCATCTGCTCTTGACACTGAGCGTCACAGATCTTACAGGAATTGAAATTGTGGCATATGTTTGCTACTTCTCATTCTTAGTTGTGCTGTCGTTTGACTTCAGAAGACTGTTTCCCACCAGTCATATGGACAGCGTTTTTATTATCATATGATCATATCATATTATCATATCATACCAACTTACAATTTTCACCTGGTGTACAATAAAACAGCTGACAAAAATCCCTTAGACCTACACTGCAAGAGGGACCCCAGCCATATCTAGAATTTCAATGGGTGGGCTCTTTGACTTTGCCAGCAAGCAAACACCCAGAACCCCCTAGAATTGTGGCGGTGAGTTTTACACAGGCAAGTTCCATTCACATTTAATTCAGAAACTATAAAAGTATAGTTACAAGTTAAAGCAGGACAGTTTTATTGATTTATTGTTTTCAGTTTGAAGGCTACCAGGTGCACATTCACATAAGCATACTTTAACACACAGTGAATGCAGTCTTGCTGCTCCAAACCAATGAGCAATCATAATTCTGCAGCCTGATGTAAAACATGCACATCTACAAACACATTACACCCAGCAAACAGTGATTATGTCTTCCTGGCTCGAAGAATGAGGGCATTATAAAAGTATGTATTTTTATAAAGAACGACTCTAAGCGGTTTTGGGAGGGGTGGTTTTGGGTGGTGGAGGCAGCTGGCCGCCTGGAAGACGTGACTGGGCCTCTTGTTTGACCCAGCATGCCATAACTACCAGCACACCATGTTTAAGACAAACTACCACACCAAAGACAACACACAGCACCAAGGAGAAGGGAGAGAGAGAAACCATTGTTGGTTCCAGGTGTTAGGGTGCGATCACTTGATAAAAGTAATGGGTTGGATCAAAGTAACAGACAGGAAGTGTGGAGTTGCCCCTGCACACATAGAACACACACACACTTTCTTTGATTAAAAGATACATTTTCTAGAACACAGAGGTACTTCACAGCTTATAGCAGAATAATCCTTGTGAAGAAATGACATTAAAGTATATTTTAGTTTACCATGCCAATTTTTGTCAGTACATTCAGCAGTACACTTTATCCATAAAAGTAATTATGAATTTACAAGTAAAGATGTACTTTAAAGGGTAAAAAGCATTCTTAAGTTCAACTAATTTCATTTAATATAAATGTAAACCATAATACATTTTAATTTAAATGCAACTAAGTGTTCAAAAACATGACATGCAGTTCTTTTAAATTAGATTATTTCTGTAATAAGTATGCAAAAGTGTAATTATTTTTCACAGGAGAAATGATAGCATAATACAACACTAGACAATACAGGAAATAGCTTTTCCATTTGCTTTGACTGCTGTTACATCAATAATGTCAACAATAACTGACGAAGAGATGTGATGGGCCAAGGTCTGTGTGCTATCAGACATAGCGTTTACCTAATACAGCACCACCATCAATACTAACTGAATATACTGTAACAGTGATTCAATCTGCTGCCAGTTTCCAGCAAACTGTTTCTGTTGGCGCTAGACAGCGGTCTAGTCAAAAGCAATTTGTGAGAATATGGCGCAAAAGCAAGGATGTCAGTTTCCGTGAGAGATTTTGCTGATGTCAGACTAGTAAAGAATTTGTTTAGCTTTGAAGTTAAAGGTTCACTAAGTACTGTAACTTACATTTTAAGGAGACAATGTAAATGGTGCTTGCCCATACAAAACTCACCACCTTGATACTAGGGTGTGGTTACTAATGTCAACAAGCCACACAATGTATCTGTCATGTCTGTAGTTGAAAGTAGTTAGCAAACATAACTAATTACTTCTACCTAAATGTTTAAGTGGACATATTAAAGGGCACATTGCTTTTTTTAAAGGCACCAAAATACGTTAGTTCACACCACACGCCGTGAACCATTTGCTACTTTCTATTGCTAGTCACAGCAGGTGGTATTATTGAGAGGGAAATTCTAATTCGAGAAAGCATGTGATTCTCATAAGCGCAAGAGTGTCATCGCTATTTTTGTTCTGATTTCCTGAAAGAGAAAGGAAGAGTCTGTGTGAAAGTGTAAAAAGTTAGTGCTGTCTACTTTTAAGTGTATGATGGTCTCAGAGCTAACAAGGACTAAAAGGCACACAGTTTCATTTAAAAAAAATTATTATTTTGAAAAATTCATATACATATGATACAATGGAAATGAAAGGAAAAAATGAATATATGGCAGAATGTGTGTTGCATGCCTTTTCCAGACAGGAAAGCAGTTGTGTGCGTCACAGAACAATCCATAGCGGAAGGAAAGCACTGCAGGCCACTGTGAGCGAGCTCACAGGAAAACCATGTTGAAAAGGGGTAGATATGGGTAGGGGACAACTGTGCACTGGGCCATTTCTCATGGGAAAATGCAGGGATAAGACAGGTCTGGAGGGAACGGCACTAGGACACAGGAAGCCAGGCTTGACCTGTTTCCTCCCACTTCCTGAGACAGACACTCTTATAGTCTGTCAGTGGGCAGAAAGGCAGAGCGCTGCATTGGGTCAGCACTGGGATGGGTATGTTCGTCCAGCTGCTTCCGCTGTTCTTTTGCTTTGTAATGAACATTCATCACTCAGAACCAACCAAACTAAATGTCTATGAGGACAAGTCGGTCCAAACGCCACTATATTGTATTCTCCTACTTACTTGCATTCAGAAAGACCGAAATCTCCATATGTTAGTCAAGATTATATTCCAATAATACATTTTAGATCAGCATCAATTTTTGTACAGCTATTGCTATGATTTCAGTTGTGGAAAACACAAGATAATAATATCCTGACAGCACTGAACTTATTTTAGAATAATGCTGAATTTACGTGAGAGTTAAATATTCCTTGTGAAAAAGCATACGTAAGAAAAACTTATTATATAAATTAAATGCAATTATCTGAACTTCAGAGTGCTTTATTTTGACCCAAGTATGAACATCTTTATACATAATTTCATAAGTAATTCTATTGTCTTTTAAATATGGTTAAAGTGTATTGTCAAATGTGCTGACGAGCATTTATGGTAAACTAAAATAAACGTTAATGTCATTTCTATTGAAACGTTTATGTCATCTATTTAAACATTTGTAATTACACATTTGTAACTATGAAGTTGCGATTTAGCCTAGTATGTTTAAAATATATGAACTTTGAATGTTATATCAAATAACACTACAGTAAAATGATAATCAAGTACATGTGCTTTAGTATGTTAGTCAACATATCATATTAAGTGTACTTCTTTAAAGCATGACAAAAGATTATTAAAACATAATGATTTAAAAAGTACTTTAAATTACACTATAAGTGCACATTCATTTTACTTAAGTGCACTTCTTATTCACAAGGGATCTCTGACGTCTGACCACACATCATTCTGTTTTTCTAGGCTCAGATGATGTATACATAAAAACATGGCAATGTAGGTAGACGGTTTGTTCTGCAGTTTTTGGAGTATTCTAATGTTTTGCAGTTTTCACTGCAAGGCTGTATTCATTGGGACAGTATGCTTTACTCTGGAGGACTAACATTTGGCCACTGCTATGTTTTAGCACCTGACTCCCACCAGCTAACCACACAAACACACAGTTGCTGCCCACTAATGGGCAGGATGCTGCGGTTACAGCACAACCCGAGTAAACACAGCTATTCTACACCTTAAACACCTCGAAACACACCTAACACACAAAACCAACAAGCTCCAAATGCATTTTTCTTCAAAAAATTCCAAGTATTTTAATATTTGCTTACACTTCATTGCTAGTATTAACAATGGCAATTAACAATAACAATGATTTGTTTTCATTGGTTGTTGAGGTATATAAGCCTAAAGCCCTGTTTACAGCTGGTATTTACATCCCTCTCAGGTAATCCGATCACAATTGATCAAACAAA